GAAAAAGATTGTCTTAAAAGAACTCGTCTTCCGCATCTACAGTGTCAGCACAACTAAGAGAGCCGAGCCAGTCGAAGTCCGCTAGATATCGCACAATGTCTTCGTAGTTGGCTTTCGAGACTCCCTTTTCTTTATTTAATTTTCCTTGAAAGTGTGACCATTGATAGCAAAATTAATGGCTTAGTGGTCGCTGGAGCTCAAGGGAGAGCTAACGCTGAACCGCTGATAAGACTCTCATTGGACAAAACAAGATCAAGTATATTGCCCTGGTGAGTTCCTGTTGTGACACATTGTTTCCGTCCATGAGTAACACACATCTCCAAGAAAACCTTTGCGCTAGAAGTAGCTCGGCATGACTGGCATGACTCGTGACATTCCAAGATATGGATGGGTAGTTAAATCTCCTACTATTACATAGGGGTATTTACAGGACAATAGCGCTGATAGCCTTAGTGAGCTGATCAGACATGGCAACCCCACAACTAGGTGTTCTGTAAATCAATATGAATCACAGAACATGTCCCACATTCAGGCCATAACATAACTTTCGCACGCATTTGCTACAGGTTCATAATCAACAGTAACTGGTGAGAGATCATTTTTGACAAGTGAAACGGCACCTCTTCTGCTGGTAGTCCTATCACAGCGTACAGTACCTAATGAAAATAGATCTGGTGCACAAGAGACGACAATTTACATAATAGAGGGGTTGACCCACGTTTCTGTTAGAGCTATTATATCTGGACCCTTGTTTGATTAGTTACGAAAGATCCTCGGAATTTCTGACTACAGGCCTGGTATGCGCTAAGACACAGCACAGGTTCGAGCCGGATTTCCTTTGAACCTTTTCATGTTCGACTGAATAGCCTCGTCAACAACAGAAACGGAAACGGAACATGGAGGAAAACAAACTTGCTTAACTCTAGAATGACTGAGTTCTGCACCTTGCGATTGAGATTGCAATACTAGAGTATCAGAAGGAAAGTCAACAACAGCAGAAGAACTCCTTTTTGATCTTAAACGTTCACGCTCAGTCATCGTTAGCCCGGCCTTAAAAAGGTGCCTTTCTCAGAGAGATATCTTAAATTTGGAGTTCACCACAGCCGTAATGATGAGAAAAATGAGGACGGAAAAACGACTCTCAATAGGCGTGGCTCATTGGGCGTATACCCCATCCTATACATACTGACTTGTGGGTTAAGGACAATATGAAACTTTCTCGAGCGTTCCATATATTGCGACGAGCGACATATTATGCTTGAACACGTACGAAACCTCAGTAGTGAGTTCTAAGAGGCTACGTGTCTGCGAGTCTCCGAGCGACCGTAGTAGAACGGAGTCAGCAGCGGCCGGGCCGTGATGGCTTGTCATTGCTATTTCTCGTGCGTTACCGCACAAACACGACTAAGGTTGGATCAGGCCGGCAGAAATTCGCAGGCACGGGCACACCCACCCTCCAGTTGGTGTATTCCACAACAGTTCAGCCCTGAACTATTTTCCGTAAGTTTTTTGCTGCTATTTTTATCACTTAGCGCACAAACAGCGGTCAAAACAAAACTTGGAATTTTTTGGACCATGAGCTGCAAGAATTGCGAAGCGCGTCAAAACTGCCACAGCTTGCTGCTGGTTGTCAAATTAACTATGACAAATTCCAAACTTCTCGTTATGTTGAAAACGGTCTCGCACACATTGTACTTCACGGCCTTGATAACAATATGAATACGTTTCAAATACGAATAACTGACACTTGCTTAGCAGGTTGTGGAGAACAGCGCGATTTTTTATTTTTGGTGCAGGAACACTAGCGCAATGCTAACAGAGACACAATAAATGGCGAATGCAAAGCAAAATTTGGAGGGAAAAGGCCGTCTGAGGCGACCTTGAGCAGGACTAGTAGAAATTTGCTATACATCGGTAATGCAGACCTCTTAATTCGATAGAGGTACTAGCTGCCGCCGTCAGGACCGACGGGGTTAACGTGCTTGAAAAGCAGCCGAGAAAACGCCTGAAGCAGCGAGCTTGAAAATCGTTGACCTACATCCTGATAAGGCACACAATCAGGAAAGGCGGGCTCAAATGGCCCCACAAACGTTGATCACATTATGCAAGAATAAGCAAAATGGAGCGGCAAGTGGTCCGTCAGAACGATCTCTACAGGACAAGAAAGAAAAAAAAAAAAAAAAAAATAGATAGAAATACGCTGTTGCGTAGCTAGTGAAAGAGCTGTCTAAATTTGATGGTGGTACTTGCAACCGCCAAGGCCGAAAGGGTAAAGGATGTGCTGCCAACGATAAGAGCATTCTCTTGCTATGACAGGCTGGTACTTTTGAAAAAACGTCTTCTGTGATGCAAGCATTCCACTGCTGAACAATATTTATTTCTGGTGAAATATCACTGGATTTTTCTTCGACAAAGAATATCAAAGGTGTCGCATTCGTAGCCATCGGGACAATTAGAGCATGGTTTACCTTCCGGTGTAGAGAGGCTCTCAATATGATAGTCTGAGGGAAGCGATAATATTGCGCCACCAATGTGTAATTAGAAAGTTTAAACCGCACCCACACCTTTGAGCTTCGTAGGTTAACAAAGAGACAAAGATGAATAGTTTTTGTCTGGCGCTATCAAGAAGGTTCCTGGTACACTGGACAGAGGTAACACTGCGCAGCCGACCTTCTCGTTTATGTGCGGCATGGGCCATCTAAAGACATGGAGAAAGTGAAACAATCAAGTATTCAATGCAGTACTCCGCATCCATTGAAACTATATAAACTTGTATTTAATAGGACTCCTTTATTTGCTATGACGAGGCAACCTCTCCTGCGGCCTCCGACCAGAGACCAGCCCTCTCGCCACACCGGCTTACCAAGCCGGCAGATTTCAGTAATCAAGATGCGTTAGCCGCTCGAAGAATCTTTAGAATCAGGTTCATGAATTAGTCGTTTTAGGCTTAGGAATAGTCGTTCTTTTGAAGTAATCCTTACAACTTTTCTGCCCTTTATCACCTACAATACTGCTCCTAATTTTTGAAACATCTACGCGTCGCGACGGTTTTGTAGCGTCGCGACGCTACAGAACCGTCGCAAACCGTCGCACCGTCATAACTCCTCGAAGCAGGGTGAAATGAAAGGATCTTTACAGCGATGGACTCGTCTCTCTGTGGCGAGTCTAACCATGTGCAAAACTACTGATTTGGTTGAATTGTAATAAGTTATTCCATGAAAACTATTGTCGATCCCTCGTTTGACAGTCTCGCCTCTCCTGATTTCCACTATCTCTCCAATCGAGGACCAGCTCTCAGTAGGGAACGGTCAAGGAATTGACCAGTCGTCGCGCCGCCGCGCGCGGCCACTTGGGCGGCGTCGCGACGCGACATTTTTCCGAGGGGCTCGGGATTTTTTGGATTTGATGGTGGGAGCAGCGAATTTCCTGCAGTCCACAATAATCTCTGTGGGGCGCGGATACCAAATTCCAACTCCCATGCTCTGGCTTTTTCATAGAAAGTGGCGTGAACAAAATTGTTTTCGATTTCATAATAGTAATATTGAAAAACACAAAAAGAAAAAAGTTTGAAGGAATTGAAACTATGCGCGCATTGACTGAAGTTGAATCTTGAAGAGACGGGTTCACAGAGCGTTCCTCTAACGTTCAGTCAGAATGACGCACACAGAAACTCGTCCACTGCAGTTGCAACGTCGCGGCCATGACCAGCAGCGCGGGATCCAAACGGCTCTGTTGACATACACCCGCTCCCCGCCTTGATGATTTCATAACGCCTCCCCGAGCCACGGTCAACCGTCGCCTTGAACCGATTTCGAAAGTCTTACGACCCCCTTCCCCTTGAAGAGTCTCGATACCATACCCGCCTCCCCTTCCCCTCCGCTCTCAGTAACAGTTACTTTGAGCAGAGATGCTGCAACGTGCGGCTCCGTCGCGTGCTTTCCATTGGCGCGCACAGTTCGTCACCCGTTGCGCCGGGAAGCGACCACCCATTCAGTAATTATATGTTCTTCTGCCAACGAGGTTATTAGATGGAATCCTTATTACTGGCCTGACGTTTCGTTTCTCTCGTTTGGGTTTCCGGTTCTTCCCCCTAATGTACCGTCAGAACAGAAACATTGGGGAGAGGAGGCCAGTGGCGGTTTAAAGGACGTCTCTCAGCCCTTGAGCCACGTTTATACCTTTGAGGAAGACG